TATGGGGACACCTGTCAAGGTTCAAGAGTCGTCAGGCATCGTCACCTATTGAAGCAGTGAACTCTGCGTGCCTCTCGAGGTGTCAAAGGCATGTGAGGCATTCCTTCAAAAGGAGTCGGGGACCTAGGGCTTTCTCTAGGGACTCCACAGGGGATTCAGACATCCCTTCACCTTGTGAGATGAAAGATGAGCCTATATTCAATCCACTGCAAGGAAACCCGGCCTCCTTTCGAGTCAGGGCTTCTCGGTGTATATGCCACTTGAGGCAGCAAACTCAGGGTCCCTCCCTCATACCTATTGCTGAGAGCACACTCCTCTTGATGGGCTTGTGGAAATTGGGCATACGTCTTGAGTCTAAGCCAGGGAATCAGCTCTCATCTCGAGGCAATTTGGGGTACACGGAGCATTCCTCGATTTGCTCTGCTGAACTTGGTGTTCCTCTACACTTGGCACGTTGTTCTCGGGGAACCGCTGGAGTTGGCTAAAGGAAGTCAAGCCACTGGTCGTGTTTGATGGGGAATGGGGGATGGCTCTGGAGTCAATGATGTGGAATCAGGCATCATCTCGAGTTGATTTGGGGTACGTAGGGATCCTTCGCAATGCTCGTGTCACCTCAGGGTCCCTCTCTACTTGAGACATTGTTCTTGCGGATTGTCTCGAGATCCATCGAGCAAGTAGAGGCTCCTTACATGTTTCATGGGGATCACGGAATTGCTCTGCATGCAGTGCAGGGGAATCGGGCCTCATCTCGCTTTGAGGGGGAAGTCTCATGGTTTTTCTCAAGTTGCAGCAGGGACCTGGGTTGTATTATTGAGTTACGGCGGGGATGGCCCTTCAACACTCGTGTTTGTTCAGCAACGTGAGGACTCCTGTCTAGTTACGAGGGACACCTCAGGAATCTCTTTGAGGCTTGGCAGGGCAAAAGGGACGCTTCTCGAGGGGAGGCGTGAGACCCAGGGTCCCTTTCCAGTACCCACAGGGATATTCGGATTCCGGTCAATGGTCAAGAGGAGTCAGGCATCATCACCTTTTGAAGCAGTGAACTCTGCGTGCCTCTCGAGGTGTCAAAGGCATGTGAGGCATTCCGTCGAAAGGAGGTGGTGACCTAGGGTTCTCTCTAGGGACTCCACAGGGGATTCAGACATCCCTTCACCTTGTGAGATGTAAGACGAGCCTATATTCAATCCACTGCAAGGAAACCCGGCCTCCTTTCGAGTCGGGGCTTCTCAGAGTATATTCCACTTGAGGCATCAAACTCCAGGTCCCTCCCTCATACCTATTGCTGAGAGAAGCCTCCTCTTTAGGGGCTTGTGGAAAGTTAGAATACGTCTTGAGTCTAAGCCAGGGAATCACCTCTCATTTCGAGGTAATTTGGGGTACACCAAGCATTCCTCGATTTGCTCTGCTGAACTTGGTGTTCCTCTAGACTTAGCAAGTTGTTCTCGGGGAACCTCTGGAGTTGCCTAAAAGAAGTCAAGCCACTGGTCGTGTTTGATGGGGAACGGGTCATGGCTCTGGAGTCAATGCAGGGGAATCGGGCCTCATCTCGAGGTGATTTTGGGTACATGCAGCTCCTTCCCAATGCTGGTGTGGCCTCAGGGTCCCTCTATACTTGTGAGAGTTTTGTTGTGGATTGTCTCGATATCCATCAAGCAAGTCTAGGCTCCTTACATGTTTCATGGGGATCACAGAATTTGTCTGCATGCAGTGCAGGGTAATCAGGCCTCATCTCGCTTTGAGGGGGAAGTCTCATGGTGTTTCTCGAGTTGCGGCGGGGACTGGGGTATATTCTCGAGTTACGAGGGGATGGCCCTTCAATATTCGTGTTTGTTCAGCGACGTCAGGACTCCTGTCTAGTTACGAGGGACACCTCAGGAATCTCTTCAAGGCTTGGCAGGGCAAAAGGGACGCTTCTCGAGGTGAGGCGGGAGACCCAGGGTCCCTTTCCAGTACCCACAGTGATATTGGGATTCCTGTAAATGTGCAAGAGGAGTCAGGCTTCGTCACCTTTTGAAGCAGTGAACTCTGCGTGCCTCTCGAGGTGTCAAAGGCATGTGAGGCATTCCGTCGAAAGGTGTCATGGACCTAGGGCTTTCTCTAGGGACTCCACAGGGGACTCAGACATCCCGTCACCTTGTGAGATGAAAGACAAGCCTGTATTCAAGCCACTGCAAGGAAACCCGGCCTCCTTTCGAGTCAGAGCTTCTCGGTGTATATGCCACATAAGGCAGCAAATTCAGGGTCCCTCCCTCATACTTATTGCTGAGAGAAGCCTCCTCTTGAGGGGCTTGTGGAAAGTTGGCATACGTCTTGCGTCTAAGCCAGGGAATCAGTTCTCATCTTGAGCCTATTTGGGGTACACGTAGCATTCCTCGAGTTGCTCTGCTGAACTTGTTGTTCCTCTAGCCTTGGCACGTTGTTCTCGGGGAACCTCTGGAGTTGCCTAAAGGAACTCAAGCCACTTGTCGTGTTTGATGGGGAACGGGGGATGGCTCTGGAGTCAATGCAGGGGAATCAGGCCTCATCTCGAGTTGATTTGGGGTACATGGAGCTCCTTCGTGATGCTGGTGTGACCTCAGGATCCCTCTATACTTGTGACAGTGTTCTTGAGGATTGTCTCGAGATCCATCAAGCAAGTCGAGGCTCCTTACATGTTTCATGGGGATCACAGAATTTCTCTGCATGCAGTGCAGGGGAATCGGGCCTCATCTCACTTTGAGGGGGAGTCTCATGATCTTTCTCGAGTTGCGGCGGGGACCTGGGGTATATTCTCGAGTTACGGCGGAGATGGCCCTTCAACACTCGTGTATGTTCAGCGACCTCAGGACCTCTGTCTAGTTACAAGGGACACCTCAGGAATCTCTTCGAGGCTTGGCAGGGCAAAAGGGACGCTTCTCGAGGTGAGGCGGGAGACCCAGGGTCCCTTTCCAGTAGCCACAGGGATATGGGGATTCCTGTCAATGGTCAAGAGGAGTCAGGCACCGTCACCTTTTGAAGCAGTGAACTCTGCGTGCCTCTCGAGGTGTCAAAGCCATGTGAGGCATTCTGTCGAAAGGAGTCGGGGAGCTAGGGCTTTCTCTAGTGACTCCACAGGGGATTCAGACATCCCTTCACCTTGTGAGATGAAAGATGATCCTGTATTCAAGCCACTGCAAGGAAACCCGGCCTCCTTTCGAGTCAGAGTTTCTCCGTGTATATGCCACTTGAGGAAACAAACTCAAGGTCCCTCCCTCATACCTACTACTGAGAGAAGCCTCCTCTTGAGGGGCTTGTGGAAAGTTGGCATACGTCTTGAGTCTAAGCCAGGGAATCAGCTCTCATCACGAGGCAATTTGGGGTATGGCAAGCATTCCTCGAGTTGCTCTGTTGAACTTGGTATTCCTCTAGACTTGGCACGTTGTTCTCGGGGAACCTCTAGATACAATCTGCTGCTGTTCTTAGGTGTATCTGACTCTGTGCCCACCAGGCTTCTCTGTCCATGGGGATTCTCCAGGCACAAATATCAGAATTGGTTGCCATATTCTCCTCCAGGGGTTCTTCCCAACCCAGGGACTGAACCCAGATCTCCCACACTGCAGGCAGATTCTTTACTGACTGAGCCATCAGGCAAGCCCAAGAATACTGGAATGGGTAGCCTATCCCTTCTCCAGGGGATCTTCTTCTCACAAGAATCAACAGGGGTCTCCTACATTGCAGGTGGATTCTTTACCAGCTGAGCTACCAAATATATATATATATATATATGAATATTTCACATCTGAAACGTGAATAATATTTAAGGTATGGACCCTAAAACATAAGAGTGGAGGAATCCTAGACAGAGAAAATAGAAGAAAAAAAGTTGTAGATTGCCAAATTTTAGGGTAAGTTTAGAGAATGTAGAAGTGCCCAGTGTGGCTGGATAAAAGCATATAATGAGAGGGAATTGAGGGATAAAAGATGAAGAAATAAAAAAGAACCTACTATGAATTTCTTGTCACCAAATCCCATGCAAAGCACCTTATATGAGTTTCTTGTAGCCATACCCCAAGCAAAATTTAACAGATTTTAGTTCAATTAATATTTCTTTTAATGAAGCATGATGTTATTTCATAGACATTCATTTTTAAAAACAATATAATTAGAACAAATTTCCAAAACAAAAGCATAAAACCAAACAAATTGAGGAGTCACCCAGGTTTCCTTGACCACCCAATCTCTTTGTAACCCCATAATTTTTTCAATGTGATGATTTATGAAATTGGATAGTTATATCTAATTTTCTAATGCACGAGTGAGAATGTTGGATTTTATTTCAAGAAAAATAGGTTCCTCAGCAATTATCAGGCAGGTTGGTCATACAATAAGACATGTGTTTCGGAAGGACATTTCTTACATTCCTCCAAGTGCTCACATGGAAAACTAGTTGAATCCTTTAAAGTGCATATTGTAATCTGAATCACAGTAGCATGCTTCATTGGCTAACCTAATGCCAAATGTGAGAGGTGGACTATAAAGAAAGCTGAGTGCCAAAAATTGATGCTTTTGAACTTCAGTCTTGAAGAAGACTCTTGAGAGTCTCTTGGACTTAAGAGATCCAACAAGCCCATCCTAAAGAAAATCAGTCCTGAATATTCATTGGAAGGATTGATGCTGAAACTGAAACTCCAATACTTTGGCCACCTGATGTGAAGAACTGACTCAATGGAAAAGACTGATACTGAGAAAGTTTGAAGGCAGGAGGAGAAGCAGACAACAGAGGATGAGATGGTTGGATGGCATCACCGCCTCAATGGACATGAGTTTGAGTAAACTCCACAAGTTGATGATGGACAGGGAAGCCTGGTGTGCTACAGTCCATGGGGTCGCAAAGAGTCAGACACAACTGAGAGACTGAACTGAATGCCAGGCATTTATTTCAATTCCTCAAAGAAAGTGTATATGTTTTCTTCTAATACCTCAAAGGACACAGGTCCTGGAGACGAGACATGAATTCTAAACTATAATGAGTATCACCCTATTTACTTTAAACCTGAATGTGTCACTTTAGACCATACGTTCCTCATGGCGATTTTCATCTCCATGTTTCTCAGGGTGTAGATGAGAGGGTTCAGCATGGGAGCAATCACAGCGTAAAACACAGAGATGTTTTTGTCTTTGTTCTTGCTCCCTGCAGGTAGAACGTAACTATAGATACAGGGCACAAAGAATAAAACTACAACTGTTATGTGAGAACTACATGTTGAGAGAGCTTTTTTTTCGCCCTGCAGAAGAATGTGTTCTAAAGTTATATAGTATGACTATTTAAGAAGCTACTAGAACAAGAAATATGACAACCACCACCATTCTTGAATTTGCAATCACTAAGATACTCACAACACGAATATCTTTGCACACCATTTTCAAAAGAGGTTTCACATCACATAGGTAGTGATCTATTCGATTAGGACCACAGAAAGATAATTGGAATACCATGAGAAGTAAAGAAATAGAATGCCAAAAACCCACAACCCAGGCCAGGGCTATCAACATGTTACACCTCTGTCTGTTCATGATGACCATGCAGTGCAGGGGCTTGACAATGGCGAGGTAGCGATCAAAAGCCATGGACACCAAGATGAATATTTCCACACCTGCCAGCAAGTGGGCAGTGAAGAGCTGGGTCAAACAGTTGTTATAGGAAATATTTTTTCTTGCTGCAGCTAAGTCCCTGATTAGCCTGGGGACTACCGTGGAGGGGTAGCTGACATCAATGAGGGAGATGTGACAGAGAAAGTAGTACATCAGTTGTTGCATTAGATCCTGCAGGTGATGGTGAGTGAGATGATGAAATTCCCCATTAATACAGCCCATTAACAGAGCAGGAACAAAAAGAACAGTAACTCTGCTTTCTTATTTCCCCACAACCCTATGAAAACAAATTCTGTGACATTGTTTTGGGTTTCCATGAGGTTGGGTAGAGTTCAGAGGACACAACATAAATTCAGTTCATCTGAAACAATAAAGAACATAATACACCTTTTATTGCATATTTAAAGTTTTGGATTATTGTACATTGAGCAAAGATATAGGTCACAGAAAATTTGCTTTAAATAATCTATCATTTGATATTAAGAGCAGTATATTTTGAACAATATGTAATAAAATAATGATTATGTCTGGAACATAACAACCCAACCAAGAAGTGGCATTATGATACTCATTCTGTATTTGTAAAATAAAAGCAAGAGGTTTCAGTAATTGGCACTAAATCATTAAGATATTAAGTTGCAATCAGACTAAGATGAGCCTGATTCTGATACCAGAGTTCATGCTCTTGAGAACTATGCAACAAAATTCACTGACCAGGGAAAGTCCAACTTTTGTCCATCTCTGTATAAAATTTAGTAATTCTCCATCCCAGCCTTTAGCCATCTATGTAATGGCTATTTACATATTTAAGAAAATCTCTCCACTTCTCCATGTGCATGTAAATCACGTACAAAGTCTCAATTTCAGATGAACATTTTATACATTCGATGTAACTAAATATTATTTTTGAAAAATGCTTTTAGTCATAGCAGAGCATACCCGTATTAGTTGAAAATATTTTCAGTGACTCTCCTTGTCATGTGTGGTAAAGATTTAGAACATGGAGAGACTGGAAACAGAGAAGTTAAGCACAATATGAACCATCTGAATATAGGAAGAAAGGTTATTGTTGCATAAAAATTCATTCTAACCTTAATTTCAATAAATATATGTTTCAGAGGTTTCTGTTGATACTCCTTAGAGATGGTATTTTTTTTTTACATTTGGTGAACTCAACACAACGAATGACCTATTTAGTTAAACACTTTTAGAAGAGTGCCACTTTTTGATGCAGTAAACCAAGGAAAACAGAGTGAATATGTTGAAAAAATCAACTTTTACCCAAAACCAAATGTTCTCCACAGTAAAATCATTGTTTTCATCACATACTGTTAATTGTAATGAGTTGTTGTTTAATGGCATCATTGAGGAACAATGTGACATGTTAGATAGACCCATCATCTAATAATACAGGCTCACAAGTCCTATTTGATTTTTGTTGAGCACCAAACAGTTCACCCTCTCTAAGCCTTCTTCAACTAGTAAGTGAAATTAATACTGCTGGATGTATTTTCCTTACAGCAAGAACAGAAAGTGAAAGTCATAAGTAGTCTATATTTATGTGGAACACGGATCACATGATATAAACAAATTTAAATACACTTTTTTATTAAAATTATAATAGAAATTATAAAGAGAACCAAAACTGTAGAAAATGCAGCTGTTAGTTTAGAATCTTTTTTAAACAGTAGTGCAAGCCTCAGCATCCCTTAATATTTGAATCAGTGCTGCACTACTTACAGTGGTTGAGCAGAGCTTTGGAAAACACAGACTCATGGAGAAAGACCCTTCAGTGCAGGCCTTATTCTTCTTCTGGCCTTCCTTTAAACAAGGGGAAAAAAAGACTCTGCCTTGTCCTTCGTTTGTTCCTCCCTGTTCTCTCTCACTCTCTCCCTGCATCCAGCCCACACACACCGCCATCACCCAAATACATATTTAGATACCAAGGGTTTGGGGAGTGAAGGAAGAATACTGAGTCCAACTTTTCACACACCTTTCAGTTAAGGTGTTTCTTCCAAAAATCCCTCCTTCAAACTTTAAATTATTTTTAAACAATCTGTGAGGAATAATTTGAAAAGGTATATCAAACTACAGTTTGAAAGAGAAAAAAAGCTCTTAAATAAGCATATTAAGAAAAGAGATTTATAATTAAGGTCATGACAGTCCATGGACAGTGAAAAAAACCCATCAAGGGCAATTTGATAAAGTTGTTATCAACATATTAAGTGTTTATCATATTAAAATAAATTAAAAAATCATGAAATTAACATGTATAATTTTCATTATTTTCTGTATTTAGAGTAGAGTTGAGATGAAAACAGAAAGTGCAAGTGTAGTTTTCTCAGTCATGTCTGACTCTTTGAAAGCCCATGGGCTGTAGCCCTCCAGGCTCTGTCCATGGAATTTTCCAAGAAAGAATACTGGAGTGGGTTGCCATGCCCTTCTCTAGGAGATCTTCCCAATCCAGGGATCAAAACCAGGTCTCCTGTATTGCAGGCAAATTCTTTACCATCTGAGCTGCTAGGGAAGCCCAAATGTTGGAATACTATATACTAACTAATTAAATTATCTGTTTTTTTTCTTTTCTTTTCTTTTCCATTTATTTTTATTAGTTGGAGGCTAATTACTTTACAATATTTTAGTGGTTTTTGCCATACATTGACATGAATCAGCCATGGATTTACATGTATCCCCCATCCCGATGCCGCCTCCCACCTCCCTCTCCAGTGATCTGGGCACAAAACTAAAAAAAAAAAAAAAAAAAAAAAATCATTTACTGACCATTTCACCTTTACCAACATCTAGTAAGGCATATAAAATATATGCCTATAATCAAAAATTACATAAAACTTTTCTAAATCCCAATTATTTTATAGAAATTTAATGTACATCTATGTAATTAATCATAACACTGATTTCTGCAAGACTTTGCATTTATGTGAAATGTCAGGTGACACTTCAGACTGTTTCTTTTTATTTCACTGAGACTGGGCTTTGAAACAGAAAATAGAGAATACATCTGACACTCTCAGGAACTGTCCATCCAAAAGACTCTTTAAGGAAAACATTGCTGTATTTAACTTGAATTGAAAGCACACCAAAGGAAAACAGGAAAAAAAATCCCACAGGCATTTTACAGCAGTCAGTCTATATAAGGTTATTATTATAAGAATAAATCTACTAATATTAATGGGATATATAAGACAGGTGTGAGGCTTCTTTCTTTAATTTAATCTCTTGAGGATTATCATAGGAATGATTCAATAACTTTATAATATTATAGAGATCAATTACATATTATGGATAATTATTTTTCTATCTCTCACTTCTAAAATAATTTCCTCAAAAACTGAGTTTGCTAATGTTTACCAAGGTATGTATAATACACATTTAATATATTTAATATATTTGAAATCTTTATTATTTAATCTTTATTATTTAATTGTATAAATATGGTAAGAGATAATCAGAACATGTATACTTCCCATATACACTTAACATTACTATCAAAAGTTTGAAATTATTTCTCACTGTTTATTTACTCCCACTTGAAATTAAGAAGCCAGCAAATTGTGTCAACAGGTGTAATTTAGTATCAGGTAATGTTAGACAGTTGGGGAGAAAGTCACAATCCGTTTTTCTTTCTTTCTCTATTTCTTTTTCTTTCTTTTTTTTTTTTTTTTTTTTTTTTTTTTGCTTTGCTTTATCTCTTTTCATCCCTTTGGCAAGAGAGAAAGAAGGGTGTCAGTAGAAACTAAGGGACCAGGTGGAGTAAACTGTAGTCCTTAGTTCTTATTTCTTATCAAGTGATGTTCATGGATCATGCAGGATCCTTCTAAGGTTTTGTTTATTTTATAATATATTTTTCCTTTATGAACTGCTTATTTCCACTCTAGATACTCACTGTGCTCTAACATATTTAACTCTTACTAGCCGCAGGGCATTTCATATTAGTTGTACTCTCCCCATAGTCAAAACCTAGAAATAACCTCTTAGTAGAATCACCTTATGTTGTGGCGTTTGACTCTGTCTTCTCCTTGCTGCTTGATACTGGGAAGCAATGAAAGTCCTTAAATGCTAATCTGATTAAATAAGAAACACTGTTTGAAAGATCAATAATACTGATGATATCTCAAAATAAGGAAAAGGGGGAGAGAAGGAATAAGAGAAAAATAGAGACAAAATACTTAAATCAAGAATGAAATAATGTATAGCATTACAAAATCTACAGATATTAACAGGATGGTAGAAAATATTAGAAAATAATTTTAATGAAAGTATTGCAGTATCTAACAGAAGATGAAGAAAAGCATAATTGCCCTATATCAGCTAAATAAATTAAATTCATGGCTAAACTTCTTGCCAAATATAATTTCTGATCCAATGAATTTAAGAACAATTTATCATGACCATGTAGAAATTATCCCAGGATTAAAAGACTCAAAATGCAATAGTTTAATTCACTATATTAGCACAATAAAGAGAAGAATCACAAGGCTATTTCAATAAATTCATGAAGTTAATTATAGTTAAAAAATTTCAATTTATATATATATATATATATATATATATATAACATTTTAAAAATACTTCAGCAAATGAAAGGAAACTGCTTAACCTAATATAGAAACTG